CATCTTCTCCTATGCCTTAGGGAGAAGAGGAGGTGTGAGTGGTTTCCTGAGTTGGGACTGGGGAAGTAAAGGTCAGAATTTGTCCCCTTTAACTAAAAATCCATCTTTTAATTTGCAGGGAGTGTTACATTACTCTTTGAGAAATGCAATTAGTTTTCCACATGAGGTTTTAATTCTCTGTGTGTCTTTAACGCTATTGAATTAGGACCCCAATTGTATTTTGTATTACACAAGATAACACAAATAATTGGGTTCAATACAATTAGCCAGTTGTATTAGCAGCTGTATGAATGGGAAGCAGCTCACATCCGAAGAGCTCTCAGACACTCAGATTATAGACTTCCACACAGCTGGAAGTAAATGAATGTGGTGTTCTGCAGCATAGTTGAAATCAAGGGGCTTTTTATGCAAGATGACTCACACCGTAAAACACAGGGAGACAATCACAACACTCTTCTTTTTCATATCTAAACCAAGGAGAGTGCTTTTCCTTTCATTAGTTAATGGAATAGTAAGTGCATTATAAATGTGCATATTGGTATTGTCAAGTGCTGGGCTAAACCTTCTTAAGGTTGGTAGCTTTAATCACTGGGCTTTCCATTTGTTGATAGCCATGTGAAGCAATTAGGCTCCTTTATGGAACATAAGGCTCAAGTCAACAGATGTCCCCAAACTGATGTGCACTTGTCACAGCCCAAAACAGAGGTGTTTCTGTGGTATGTGCCTGTGTAAGCAGAAATAACAGAGGTTTGTGGGCACATGCTAGTGAGAAGTAGCGGAGCACTGAGTAAGATGGGAAGAAAGTTTTTTGTCTGAAGGCTAACTCAAAGAGGGTTAGCACTTAAAGCAAAAAAAAAAATATCTTCTCCTGCTTATTTTCTGCTTGGGTCAATGTGATGAGACTTAATACAGTCCTTATATAAAACAACATTGCTTCAAAGCAATATTTACTTCCTTAATCTAGTTCTCCTTTTAGTAAAACCAACTTGCAGTCACAGGTGGGCTAGAGTGGGCATCAGTGTGTAAAATTCAGTACTTCTATCAAAATATAAATGTCGTGGTTTAACCCCAGCTGGCAACTAAGCACCACACAGCCGCTCACTCACTCCCCCTGCCCTGGTGGGATGGGGGAGAGAATCAGAAGAGTAAAAGTGAGAAAACTCGTGGGTTGGGATAAAGACAGCTTAATAATTGAAATAGAATAAAATCCTAATAATAATAATAGTAATAATAAGAAGAATATACAAAGCAAGTGATGCACAGTGCAATTGCTCACCACCCGCTGACCAATGCCCAGGCAGTTCCCAAGCAGTGGGCCCCCCGGCCAGCTTTCCCCCAGTTTATGTACTGAGCATGACGTCACATGGTATGGAATGTCCCTTTGGCCAGTTTGGGTCAGCTGTCCTGGCTGTGCCCTCTCCCAGCTTCTTGTGCACCTCCAGCCTTTTCAGCTTCCCGTGCTCTACTGACGGAGAAGTCCTTGACTAGCGTAAGCACTGTTTAGCAACAACTAAAACATGGGTGTGTTACCAACATTGTTCTCATCCTAAATCCAAAACACAGCACTGTACCAGCTCCTAGGAAGAAAATAGCGGAAACCAGGACAGTATCCGCCCCTTATTCTATACAATCTACGTCATGCCCAGGTCCCCCACTTTCCAATACATTCCAATTAATCACCACCCCTTTTCCTGTTTTTTGATATACATACACACAGATATCATTCCCTTAGCCTATGGGCCATCACTCTAAAATGTTCATTAAGTTTATTTAGTCCATGACTTTGGGCTCCATCTGTCATAATAACCTTTCAGGGCAGGAAAGGTGGAGATGGTATGTGGTGTTGGATTGTTTCATGCTGAAGTCAGTTCTGGTTCCATCATTACTGTGCTTTGCTCAGTTTCATTGAAGTTCATTCTTCATTAATCTGGGTGATTCTTATTGTAATATCATTGGTATGGCATATAATAGTATGTAGCAATTAACATCATATAATTCAGATCATTGGCTATTCTCACCCAAAATCAAATCCCCTTGAGGTACACATTGGACTTCCCCATCCTTCCGCATTATCCACCAAGTGCATCCAGGTCCTTGAGCAAAAGCAATCCCACGGATGGGTTTACCTTTGCCTGAGGCAGGAATAACCCAGACTGTCTTCCCCAATGTATTTTTTTTATGTGCTACAGAGATTTGTGTCCCTTTTCTAATTGCTTTGTCAATGCCCCCTTCCCTAGAAAGGGATCCCAGCTGCTTAGCTTCTTTACCCTCTAATTCCAGGCTACTGGCCCCGTTACCCCAGCATTGGAGCAGTCAGGTGACAATGTGCTCATCTGGACAACAGCTGAAATCTTTTCGCATATCTCACAGCTCACTCAGGGATAGAGATCGGGTGGTTACAATCTCATTTATGGGTTCTGCCACTTCCTCCTCCTGTTCTTGTGATGGCCCTGGTTCATCTTCATCCCTTTCTAAACGAGCTGATTTTCTTGTGTATAGGGGTGACTGATACCGGCATGGGTTGGTTCTCTGGTTCAGCCACAGTGCCTGTTGGGGGGTTTGAGTAGCTGCATTGCCTGTCGGTG